AAAGAATATATTTTTTTAGATTACTTTCTGAGGCATCATAAATAAGACTTTTCGCACAGGCAGTTGAACTAAACATATGACTTTATTATTTGATTGCATTTATTCTTATTATTTGTCCGTCACATTTCTAGTGGAACATATTGTTTCCATGGCACGCCTCCATTGCTCAATGGTTGTCTGTCATCCCTGCCGATAAGGTCTTATATCCACTTCATTTAGTCGTCCTTATTTCACCTTCAGACTTAACCTTAACACACAGCTTCCCATTCAAATTCCACTCGATTGCGTAGCTTCTGATGTTGTAATTCGGAGTTTATATGATTGGATATTTATGGTGTCTAATACTTCGTGCTGTCGAATATTATTTTATTTAATTTTGGATATCGGTGTACGCAATATGCCTATGTACAGCCTTTGATAGGGTTTGTTATCGGGGATAGTATTTATATTCAGCAAAATAAGAGGAACAAACTAACATCTCTGAATAAGAATAACCAACTGAAATAAATAATTTGGAAATATCACAATAGAGAGGCATTCGGTTAACATCTAAGGCAGTATATGAGAAAGCTGAAAATTTTTACTGCAATGAAGTTGAGAGACCAATAGATGAACCTAGGAAAAACATTATTTTCAGGATTTCATTATGAAGTGACATTGGTTAGGGGATCATTGGAAAATGAGTACTAGGGTGGTAGAAAGCTGGCTGCTTTGTCAGGCTAGTTGGGGACCCTTCAGTAGCATGAATTCACCCCACTTAAGGGGTTAGAATCCACACCCTTCCGTTTAAAAGACGAGGTGTCTCGTTGACCATTGAGACACTGGCATCCTCCAACACAATGTCCAGCCACTCCATGAATTTCAACTTCTGCCAATTCACAACCGAAGTTGTGCGACTGACACTAGCCAGTATCATCGGTGGCGAGTAATTGTCCTCACAACCGACCCGGTGTATCACACTGGTCATAATTTTTCACTAGGGCCAGTAAATAGTGAGCATCAGATTGATATTCAAGTGTTGATTTGCAGGGATTTGATCGCTTACAAGATTTTATCATGAGCCGACACCGGTTAGAGAAACAATGCAAGATCAACTGGAAGTACTTGGTCGGGTTCCAGTGACTGAATGGTCTACGAGTTAGCTGGCCTTGTAACCAGAAGGTTGTGGACTCAAACCGTATCAATAGGTTTGTATTCCAATGATTGATTTGTATGTTCTGAGTTCTCAACGTGTGTAACACTGATTATAGGTGGTTCATTTTTCCTAATGTTGTTGTGTGTGTAATCTCGAAAAGAAGCATGAAATCTGAGTTGATTTTGGTGTCCACTTGATTGACATCAAACATCCTCAGATCATATATTTTAGTTACCAGAAAAGACAGCAGTATTTCTTTTACGATCATAATGTACATAAAGCTGTCTGTGAATAACCAGGACGAATCGGCTGCTGGCTACTCCTCATTTTTAAGTTCCTTCAACAGATATCAGTTCATTTAATTCAATTTTAAACTTTCCCGTCGATTGATCGAACCGAAGTGCTTGGTCTCAGGGTGACATGTCGGCTCCGTGTGTAAGTTCTTTGACGGTGTCTAGTCATGTAACTTGAAGTCAGTTGGTGGATGGTGATATTAAATCATGACAAAATCAAATTCCTACAACTCAAAACTACGGGAGGCGTAACTGGTGAGGTCATTCACTCGGGTCTGATGATATATATTCACCAATAGCACTGGATGGCACTGGTAGTGATAGGAATCAGATTAAATGAGTTATCATCTTATGGTTCATCGTATGATCGGACGACTGTAAATTTTCACCCTGGTCTTGGTCAAATCGCGGACCAGTCGGACTATTTATTCAGGTAGGTAGTTACCTGGGGTTCAAGTGAGAAGTCGTGACCAGTAGGGTGCAGCAGGTCGAGTATGAGGACAAATACTCGCCGAAGACATTGGCTAGTGGTCACGCTATTTCTTGAATTGGCAGAAGTTAGAATTCATGGGCTGGCCATTGGATCGGGTCCCATTGGCTTAATGTTATACGAGCTCGCCTTATAATCAGAAGGTCCTGGGTTCCAACCCTGGCGGTGGATGCGTACTGATGAAGAGTCCCAAACTAGGAAGAAACAGTTGTCCAGTACTCCCAGCTGGTTTGCTGGTTCTCTAACTGATGTCAGCTCATGGTGAAATCCTGTAACCAATCAATCAAATCCCTACAAACCAATACTTGAATGTTTATTTTTCGCCTACCTTAGGTGAATCGCCTATCAGTTGGAACAATTTGCTTCGACTGCCATGGGCCAATTTCAGTATGGTAAAAATATGTGAATATGACGTGTTTTTCCCAAATGAAAACTGTATCCTCACAGTCATACGTCAGTCTTTGTCTTTTGATATTTACGTGGCTCAATGAGGCGTGAGGTAAGATGGACGAAAAGGTGTAGTCAGCATATCAGCTGAGTTGTTCATTGAATCAGAATTAATATACCCACGCATCAGTCCACTCGATTATATCAATTCGCCACAAGTCCATAGCAGATTGGCGATTTGGATCATAGCTGTCAGGTACTATATCACAAATTCACAGAAACTAGGATTCACGAATGATAGGATTCTAACCCGGTTACTGAATGGCAAACTCTAATGATATTCGTCTTTAAGCACTGTCCAACTCTCTTCGAATGGCATCAATTCACCACAAAACCCATACGCTGAATGTAATAATACCTCCGTCAACTCTTATCCACCTTCTACAACAAGGCGTACAATTGTGTAGACAGTTAGTGACTACTGATCATAATGTCAAAGTGCCATTCATTAGTTCTACATTGTTTTGATATAAATAAATAATACAGGTTTGAGGCAATAAATCAGTATTAAATGCCTACTTAGAGAGTGAGAGAGAGTATCCATAGGGCATATTTCGTGACAATTACAAATACATGAAAAAGTTAGTGTCGTCAATAACAACTATCTCTAGTAGAAGAGGATGATAAATTTTGTTAGATAATAATCGTCAAGTATGTACCTTATCATCCAGAAGAGGAGATAACAAGCTTTATACATACATATATCTATATATGTATGTATATGAGGATATTGTCTATTGAGTACCATTATACTCCTTTCTCTCGTCTTTTGTTCAATCACACGCAATTCTGCATCAACATTATTATTAATTAATCAAGCAATCACATATATAGTTAGTTGGCAAGGAAAAATGATAATAAATCTTAAAATCTAGAGACAAAAAAAAATCCTCTTAGTGAAGCTTCACTTAACTTAACTAACATGAACATTTTATGACTAACATGTGCAGTATCTCATCTCAGCTTAGAGATGCTTCATTTGTAAACACTATACTCTACATGAGTATTTATCTGATTTCCCATCCCTAGATAAGCATCAGGTAGGCAAAAAACAATCAAGGAAGTAAGTGAGCGAGCAAGCCTAACAGACAAACAAGCAACAGTTTATATACAGCTGCAGGTTTGTAAAAGTCCATTTGATAGAATTATTACGTGATCAAGTGAGGAAAAAGATGCATGATATGAAATGATAATTTGAAGATAAAAACAAAATAAAAAAATAGAAGGGTGTAATATTGCCTGAAAAACGTAAAAAGGGTAAGTGTGTCTGAGAAATGCATTTACTGTCTGGAAATAAAGATGAATGGTTATTTTTTTTACTCGTCATAACGTTAATAGGAGATTGATGGAGATATGATGTAGGGTACATTTAATGGTGCTGTGTTCTGCGAATAGAATTTTTAATACCGAAACTTTAGTTGTCTCTCTAAACAGTTGCATTTACCAACTTCAGTGTACGCGAGCAGAAGAAGCGTCAAAGATTGGCCTTCAGGTGAACATAGAAAAAACAGAGGTAGGTGATGAAGATTCCTGGCCAACAGCAACAGCACCATGAAAATAAGATCTGGATTTTCAACTTTATTGTGAAGTCAGTGCTACTTGCTATACGGATCAGAGACTTGGCGCCTCGTCACAAAGGGCACAAACAAACTATAGAATTTCATCAACAGCTGTCTTCGCTCAATACTACTCAAAATTACATGGTTAGAAGTGATCAGAAACAGGGATCTCTGGGAGCGAATCAACACAGCAGGAGCCAATTTTGCAACAAATATGCAAGAAGAGAAGGAGGTGAATTGGTCATACTCTGAGAAAACAAATCATCAAGTGACATCACACGCCTGGTCATCACTCAAGTGGAACCTGAATGGGAAGCGGTGAGTTAGTTGGTCTTCACTGCTAAAGTGACATGGAGGAGGTGATGTGAAGAGGAGATGAAAGCATGTGGGCAGACGTGGAGCCAGGTGAGCACGTTGGCAGAGAAACGAACTCAATGGAGACGTGGGGCTGAAGCCCAATGTTCCTCTAGGAACTAAAGGAAACAATAATAATACAATAATAATAAATGTACGCGCGGACACGCATACATTGGAGGACTCATCGATCTCTGCAGTTAGGGCCTTCACACCATATTCCTAAATGGTTTCAGAAGCAGATTGAATCCCCAGAACCCATTCTTGGTGAGAACAGACGACGACCTAGCTCCTCTATTGCGAAACATATTACAGAGGAGACAGGACATACAGTTGACGTTTACACATCTTTTAAACCTATGTATAAAACGTGTTTGGGGCGTATCCTAAAGTTTGTGGAAGTCCTGGCAGGCAGTTAGGAAGTTTAAACCACTTTTAACCGATCAAAGGAACAATTCGTCATCACCACACTAAACCACCTTCATTGGTAAACTTTGTTTTGACGATACCAGGGTAGATGTACTATTACCTCCCTTCTTTGGTTTAGTGATCTTCACTGTTATTTTGGTGTCGTTTTAACTTGACCCCTTAACTCTTTATTATATATATATGTATGCGATTGTACAGTTTAAGAATGATTTCACCGAGAAGAGTAACTCTCATCTGGGCACCTTTCCACTTATATAACTCAATAAGGACTTTCAAATTATACTTCAACTTACCCATGAACACCATGCCAATTGTTTGCATACACGAAATATACAAGTGAATTTTAATTCATGCAATCTATGTCCAATTTCGCTTAATTTTTGTTTAAATGTTTCATCTATCGAATTCATTTGTTCAAATGTCAATTTCATTGTTCTATCATGTGTAAATGTATAATTACTGCCTGTAGTACTTGTTCTACTTGTTCTTCCATCCACTAATGTTGATGAATAATTTGGATATAGACGAAATAAACCTGTTTGTATATGATGTAAATTATCTGTTGATCTAAATATTAAAGCTTGTTCATTACCATAGTGATTTGTTTGAAAATTGAAACTAATCGTTGATTTGCCTGTTGATTCTGACTTAAGCATTGGACACCTTGACAAAAAGGAGAAAAACAAGACTTATATAAGGGAGGAATGGTATCATCGATAAATATTAGTTATACAACTATAAAAGACATTGCAAACTTGACTGGTAGAACAAAGGACTAGACACATTACACTAGTTGCTAACTAGTGTCCAATCAAAGTATCCGATACAGTCCTAAAGGAGGTCAGTCACGAGCGCGAATAGCTCAGTGGTTACGTCTCTGACTGACTGACTGACAGCAGCATTAGGTGACATGGGTTCAAATGTCAAGAGGAACATAAGTTCCTTCGAGGTCGCAGATACGCCATGCTGACTGGTGAGTGCCAACTAGCACGAAACCTAGACTTGGTGTAAGGCTTCTTGTGGCCGATTGCCTGCAACTATCTAATACAACCGATTCACAGTGTACCGTGATGGCAAGCCATCTAGTAGCATGGTGGCCACATTGTAAACTTGACCGACTGAGTTCAAAGGACTAGACACTAGATACTGACTAGTGTCCAGTCAAAAGACCTAGTTCGTTGAATGACACAGTATTCAGCGAAGAGACTCTCTTCAACAACGAATTTATTATCAAGCTGTACAATCATATTTATATGGTTTATTTTTATAAGAAATTATATCCAGTGAGGGAATTCGATCAAAGGTGTGAATACATGAAATAATAATAGTAGTATGAAATGCAATTAAAATGTTCGTGATTATAATCACTGTTAAATGTCAAGTGGCAAAACAATTAATGTCATATATAGAATAATTCATAAGATGTATAGATGTTGGAAAGGCATGTATAATTATAGCATTAGTAGGCTAATATAAAACGCTACGTAACTTGGCATGAAATTTGATAAGATAGAATTCAACATTGTAAAAGCATTTTTGGATTTAGAATGACAAGCGGAATAAGTGGAAACAGTTCAGAGTGAGAATAATAACAATAATAAATCGTAGTAATGAGGGAAAGGCACAGAGAATAATTAAATAAACAAAATAAATAAGTGTCTATCCCTCTATGGCCAAGGCAAAATTATGGATTGTACATACTTCTTTTGTATACAAAAGTCTGGCTGGCATAAATTCATGAATGGCCAAGACCTCCACTACCTTTAGAAGTCTGTAACGAGTTAAACGCGGCTGGCAAGTTAGCACGAATTCGATAGATGATCATCGTAAAATCATAGTCAGTGTTGGCAGAGTGACAGGAATCGATCAAGTTTTTCTAGAATAGAGCTTCGCACACACACTTCCTTTCTCCCTTGTAAAACCATGTTGCTGGAATATGTTCTCGTATCCGTGAGTGGAAAGCTTCCTTTGGCTACGCCCAATGTACCTTGCTTCACAAGAGCAGGTGAACTGATAGATGCACATGAAGGCGGCCAGACGGGGGAGTTTATCTTTTACAGAGATGGAGAACAACTTGCGGCCATTTTACGAATAAAAGTAAATCTTACAAAATCACGAAAAATTCCCATTTACTCATAAGTAAAAACACAGTTTTTTTGTTTAGTGAAGAAATTTCTTTTCAGCGACTTCATTTTCAAGCTGTACAGTCACATCAAAGATAGATTACCGCTTTTGTCCACATCTATGTATATTTACTCTTTTATCTGCTCTTGTGGAGCTGTTTATATTGGACGTTGTAAGCGTAATCTCCGTAAACGTGTAGCTGAACACTATCCAGTCTGGTTAATGAAAGGCGAACATAGAACTGTGAAGTCGTCTATCTGTGATCACCTGTTCGAGTCAGGTCATTTAGCCCCACGTGATTCATCTTTCAAAGTTATCTACATGGCAAAATCGAATCGATCCAAAAGTTTACGTTTTCTTCACTTATGCATAGCCGAAGCTTTAGCTGTACATGAACAGAAACCTAAATTATGTGTTCAAAAACGTTTTGTCAAACCCCTTTCTTTACCTTGGTCATAGTAATGTTCTTTCTAGTTTTTACTTTATTTTATTTTACCACTTGAATTCTTTACACTGCACTTCACATCTTCATTCTTATCGTAATCGTACTCCTAATTTTTTAAAAATTTTTAGACAATACTTGACCTTTTAAAACATTTTTGATTTCAGTTCACTTATAAAACAATCTTTAATAATTTTGTAATTTATCCACTTCAACTCTACCCCTTATAACATTTTAATTATTGTTATTCTTATCACATATATGTATATTGACTGAGCAGCCATTTAGTGCCACTTAATAACCTTTTCTGTAATATAAATACGACTGTGCAGCTTGAAAATGATGTAGTTGAAAAGAAATTTCTTCGCTGAACAAAAAAATCTTACAAAAGTTGATTTCTCACAACACAATGACTTCTGGATTACAGAATGTTTTTCAGAGTTCATTGGATATCTTATATCAGAATATGTAAAGCACTGGATGACGCTTCGAACAAAATTTATTGTCTAAGCCCTTCAAAATATTAAATAGACAAAGGACAGCAAACTTACGCCGATTCGCCTAAGTGATCGCAATCAAGCGATTTTAACCAGACTTATGTATACATAAAGAGAGTGTGATTAACCTCTCACTCCCTTGGTAACTGAATTTTGATTCTAACTACATTAATTAGTCATCTAATTCAGTGATCTCAACTCACTGAACAAATCTTAATCTCATAAACTGTAACCGCTTTCGTTTTTTGAGTTGCTAGTTGAATCTACAAGCTAACACTGTTCTGTTAATTAACTTTTTCTGTTTTCTGTCTTACCACTCCCTCCCCCTCTTTTCAACTTTGAAAGTGTATAAATTGATGATGAAATCTTAAACTAAAAATTGTAATGCTGCTTTCATTTTGGATGCGTCAATTTTATAGTATCTCTTCTCAACTGCCACTTAAACATTAAAGTATGCTATTATCATCTATATAACCATTATCATTTCAGGTAGTGTTGTGCAGCTGATGAGAACCTGTGAAATAGAATGATGATATCACATTTTATACTGCAAATTTCGTCTTCCTTTCTTTATCGAAAGTTTATCAAGGGGATCAAATGTATGAAGACAATTTTTTTATCCAAATGAATTGTCGTCAAGATTTGACAGAATAGTTTTAAAATATTTGGGCGCCAGGTGAGAAGTAGACATTTGTAAAAAATTATACTTGTAAAGTCTCAGCGAGATTGAAATGAGTAATTCCAACGTTTCCTGTGTTCGTCAATCTGGTCCGAACTTCTTCAGGGAAATTAATCGAAATTAACATAACAGCAGAGGTTTATATATAAAAGGAACATCACTTGTTTTTAAAAACTTTGTCCAATCATGAGTCACTCAACAAGTATAATAAACAAAATTTTATGAGCTGTGATCAAAATTTGACCTCGGAATCTTCAGAAAGAAGACAAAGCAATAATTTCGACAGGGTTCTTCTACTAAACACCAATCCTAAACACCATTATTTTGAAAATACGTCTAATCATAAAATTTTAGATACTAACAGTTTGAACAGACATGAAGGTGTGATCTTAGCTGATGCATAGGGAATCCTTATTAATAAATAAAAAAATGGATATGTATCACTAATTAATAATACTTGGTCAAAATTTTCTACTGTCCATATCTTCTTATGGAGACGGTAAGAAATGTTTTACAACTGTTTACCCACACACACATACACACTCTGTTTAAAGTGTTTAACAAAGGTAGACCAATATTTGTATGTTCGAGGTCAAATTTTGATCACAGCTCATAGAATTTTGTTTATTATGCTTGTTGATACTTGTTGAATGACTCATGATTGGACGAAGTTTTTAAAAACAAGTGATGTTCCTTTTATATATAAACTTCTGCTGTTATGTTAATTTCGATTAATTTCCCTGAAGAAGTTTGGACCAGATTGACGAACATAGGAAACGTTGGAATTACTCATTTCAATCTCTCTGAGATTTTACAAATATAATTTCTTACAAATGTCAATTTTCTTATCATTGGTGATGTTTTGTGAACATGTGAGTCTGGACAGTAAAACTTCTGCTGACGTGACCTAGATGTCTGGATTGCTTTTTTCCTCACTCAGCCTTCTCATGCTAAATAATTTCTTTTTTCTCGCAATTTGATTTCTTTTGTTAAAAAGAATTTAATATTGTCAGAAATTCAGTTTCATAATAATAATTTTTGATTCAGTGTACTCGACAAAAATATTTTTTTTCTGCTGATTAACTGATTTCAGTTAGTGCGTGCGTGACTGACATCTTGAGTAGAGAGAAGTCGATAAGTGGGAGGCTGCTTAAAGCATAATGAAACGAAATGTTGCTTTTTTTTATTCGGGTAGAGCACATATAGATTCTAGAGATATTTTATTCTCTTCTATCTGTAAAATTATATATAAAACCTGTGGTCACAGTCACGCCTACAGTGCAGGGAAGAGATTTAATGAAGTATAATTGCCGTGGAACGCCTACAAGATGATATAATCTTCAGAAGTCAGTTTACCGAAAGCCTATGTGGGGTTGGACAATACCTAGATTTTTAATAGGTTTTGTCTAAATAGCCTAAATAAACGAGCACTAGTCACGACTCTGTACTATAGAGCTAGGAGAATATGCTCTGCAGAGAAATTAGAGGAAGGATTTCTGATTCTTGAGAAGATGTTGAAAAACAACAGTTACCCTCATAGATTCATTAACAATAATGGAAGATGTCCAGGCTCAAGCATCAAACAAATCACAATGTGGAAAAAGCATATCTTCAATCAACTTGATTTCAAATATAGAAATATTGCAGCAATGCTCGACAGAAGATTGAGTGCGTCAGTAGCAAGAGCCTATCTTACAGCTAAGAGACAACATACTATTTGGTGTAATCAAACGAAGGTCGACAGATTATTATTATTGTTTCCTTTAATTCCTAGAGGAACATAGGGCTTCAGCCGTGCGTCTCCATTGCGTTCGGTTCTCTGCTAGAGTCTTCACCTGGCTCCAAGTCTGCCCACACGTTTTCATCTCCTCTTCACATGACCTCCTCCAAGTCACCCTCACACTGATGACCAACTCGCCGC